TAGGATGGTAAGGGTAGATGCATATTTCTGCTATCATCAATTCTATCATCAAGGCTACCAATTCTAGCATTGAAATCCCTACGAGAAGAACATCACCTTTGGATGAAAATTGTAAAATATCTTTTTCCAGATAACTAAACAGATCAACATCCTTGTTCTTATAAAGGAATGAGTTCTCAGGTGGGATGTAAATACAACCAATGTATAAATCATTATTAGTAGCACAGATTGTTTTGTCAATCTTACACCAAATAAAATGTGCTGTATTGCCAGAAATATGAGTAATGTACTGTTTGTATTTACTTTTAAATAGAACAGCGACACCCCCTCTTTCTTTTTTTGAGCGACCAAGATTTCTGTCTTGGTGTATCACCTCATATGAATCTAGGCTGTTTTCTAATCTAACACTACTGTTACTGCTAAGCCAAGTTTCTTGGAAACAAGCCAAGTCTAGGGAAGAGGTGTAATTAATAAAATCAGCATTTGACAGCTTACTGCTATTCAACCCATTGATATTCCAACTACCTATTTTGAAGTTGGACATTTTTCAGCAAGCGAAAATATACAATAATAAAAAAATATATATATATAAAAAAAAAAAAAGAACTACACAAAAATACTACACACTTAGTATACTGAAGGAAATAAAAGTTAGCAAGGGGAAACGGGGCTGGAAAATATAATGTACTAGTAGAACAGTTAATTAAATTTGAAACAATAAGTATTAATATAGCTGGAATATAACCATGTCAGGATTATGATTATGATGATTGTTTAACATTAAAATGATTGACATTTGTATCTGATCATCAAAGGAGTACTTGTCCATATTGAGAGATATTGCTCTGGAACAGCATTAGTTAAAACAAAATCAGCCATTTTGAATACATGTATATATCTATAACATGTATAATGAATATATAAAATTTGAACATAATCAGTGAATGCAAGTCAGAGATATGGCACTAGAACCCGTCAACCACATTCATTAAAACGAAATGGCCACCAGTCGTCCATTTTGAATTTATCTGAGAAACAAAATGATTTGCATCAAGGTCCCATAATGTCTAATGTATTATACCAAGTTTGAACAAAATCCATCTGTATACAGCCGAGAAATGCTTGATTTTAATGATTTTTCTGTCCAAAAATGGCCGCCATTCAGCTAACTTGATTCAGATTGTGAAACAAATTGATGTACATATGTATAATATTATGTATGATGTAATGTGTGAAGTTTTATTGTGATTGGTCCAGGCATGTCTAAGATGCAGGTCCTGCACGCACACACAGATGCACTAAAAAGTTCATTACCGGGATAATAATAATAGCAATAATAATATTAATAATAATAACTTTATTAGTCTGAAAGTACTATCTGAGGATACTGTAATGGTAAAAAAACAAAAAATAAAATACATTGCACACAGACAATACGTTATGTGTAACTGAAAAAAAATGAACTACTAAATGTAACTTATGGCGTTACGGTGACAGATGTATAATAATACAGTGTATTATGATTATTATTATTATTAGGAAGCGAAAATATGAGGCGGAACTTGATAATCTGGTTTGGAAGATTGACTATGACAATATTACGATACAAGGAGAATACACTGGGGCTTCTCGTGCAATATCAATGAAAAGCATGGTAAGACAGTATTTTGTTCAGGCAGTTCGGGTATGCAGAAACCATAGTTAAAACGTAACAAAATTGATGCTACACTTTATAAACTATCAATAATACAGAAATTGAATTTTCCAATAACTGGTATATGTTTATTACGGTAATATCTTTTAGATGCAGAGTATTGTGTCAATGGTGAATAACAAAGAAACCCAACAGATATTTGCAAGGATTGGTACATACAAGGTAAATTCGATCCACTATGACTATAGGTACAGTACAGTTCTCGCGGAAGCTTTGGCTTTTGTGGCATCGTTGTCGCCTACGCATGGCTTCATCGTCGCCTCAGCATTGCATCATTGTGGCATCAGCTTCGCGTCATTGAAAATTGAAGCTGTGTTCGCCTCGCTTATTTTGTGGCATCATCGTGGCCTCAGGTTCACAGTCTCATGGCATCAACATGGCATCAGCTTCAAAGTATTGTGACATGAGTATGACCTCATTATTTTCACATGGAAAGGCAGTAGAGAAAAACACATGTATAGAAGTTTGATATGTAATCGATTTGAAATTTAAAGCGGTAAGGGGAATAAAATAATATGACCAAGAGTAAAATGACATTTTAAACAGATATCTTGTTTAATTATTTAATGTTGCGAGTATTGGGTACCAAAAACTATGTGAAGTACATTGCAATCTGCAAGGTGATGAGTGTCATATTGACTGCAAGGAAAATCGTGATAAATTTAAATCACACGATGCAATCGTCGTTCGGATACAACACAATTTGCTGTACGAAATGAAACTGTTCTAATAAAATTACCTTATTTTCGTTCATTTTATTTGCTGGTAAGAGAACAGATTCAGATTCCACAGTTTGATGGTATTTTTCTGTGTTTCGTTTAGTTTTAGCCGAGTCCGATCCCATGCCCGGACTACTAATACAAGCAAAACACATGTACGCCGCTTGGTGCATCGGCGTTGTCGCCTGCCATCTTGGATACAAAGTTACAAACAAGTGCGTACATTTCCAACTATGAGCTATGATTAAAAACGAGCCACAGGCCTTGTAAAAAATTGAATATCACTTGACATGCAGAAATAATTTATTGGGCTTCAGAAAAAAAGTGTTCATTTAGTTGTAGCCGTAAATATTTGGTGACCAGTCAATGAACAATTTGAAACTCATTATACACACGGAAGTCCTTCGATACTGAATATCATCGACCCCAATCTGGTTTACCTTATTTCCCAACTTGCAAAACTGATTTGTATCTCAGCCCAGTTTTTCTTTTTTCTTTTTTTTGAACTGAGGTCAAATCCCAGTCGTTTGTCAAAATATACCGATGTTTTTCAGTGAATGATTGTGAAGCCTGTCACAGCACAATGAATCAACGCCAGAGATTGGACAGTACGACGACCCTTCAATTAGCGTCAAATATGCTTTGTTACAACATCATTGATTTGCTGAAAGTCACCTGATCGGAGCACGACCTGGGTCATAGAACCATATTTGTCCGTATTATCAACAGGACTTTGCGAGAGAACCACACCCACATTTTCAA